TCCCCGCCACTCGAGACTCAGCCCTGGCCTCACTGGGCCTCTCCTCCTCTCCACCCCCCTCCCAGCCTGAGGCCCAACCCGTTCCCCACCCAGTGTCCGGACAGATGGTCTCCCGCGTGGACAGCCTGTCCTTCCAGCCCTGGCCTGGCCTCCGTGGCCTGCCCGGGTCACCCAGACGGGTAGTAGGGGGTATCGCTATGGTAGTTGTAATCTGGGCACACCTTCTGGACCAGCCGATAGTCCGTGCTGTAGAAGGCGATGTAGACGCAGACAACTTTGAAGGGCTGGGAGCAGCTCCAGGTGGCAGAGCTCTGGGCGTGGTCTCGGGAGCAGACCTTGGCGGGGTCGTGGGTGCACAGCGAGGTCCGGCGGCCGCGCTCCACCTTCTCCCACTCCATCCGGCAGTTGAAGATTTTGGAGGCCTTGGCTTCGATGAAGATCTGCTGCTCCTGGTGGAACTCTACCGCTTTGCTGGGGGGCACGAGGCTGATGGAAATGTTGCCCTGGCCTGTGGCGTTGTGCCGGAAGTGGACGCTGAAGGTCCCGTTGCCATGGTCCACGATCTTCCCTGTGACGAGCAGGTTCAGCGCCACCGTCTTGATGTTGGAGTAGAAGTCGCCCCAGCCAAAGATCTTCTTCACCTTGGCCGAGGGCGGGGGGCTGTGGTTCGGGCGGTTGGGGGGCTGCCCGAGGACTCCCCAAGCCTCCCCAGGTGGAGCCAGCAGCCCTAGGAGGGTAGAGTTGGCCACGGGGCGGGACTTAGGTGAGATGTGTCCCCGCTTCCGAGGCACCCGAGGCCGGGGCTGGCCCTTGTGGTCATCGTGCTCGGGGTCCTCTGAGCCGGGGGGACCATCATCCTGGCCACAGATGACCTATGGAGGGAGTCGGAAGGAGAGTGAGAGCCCTGTCCCCAGAGGACACAGGAGTTCTGGGCCCCACCTGCCCCCTTCCTCCCAGCAGCATCTCAGTCCCTGTCCCTTCCACTCTGACTTGGGGCTGTGGGACCCCCACATGTGGCATACACTTACATGGTTCTATCTCATGTTCAAACATCTGGATCACTGCCCCCCCCCGGTGTCCTCTCCTCATGGTCCTGTCTTGGCCACTATTCCAAGTCTGAAGGATGGTCAAGAATTCCCTCTGGTGGACTGTGGCACCGGGGACAACGGCCCCTACCCCTAGGGAGTCCCCAGTCTGATGGGGGAAGCCCAGCCCCCAGCTTTGGGAGAGTCCCTGTCTAATGGCAGAAGTGTCATCCCTGTGCTGACAGAGCCCCCAGTCTGACAGGAGGGTAGAGTCCCTGCCTCTGTGAAACTCCCAGAATGATGAGGGAGGCTTCTGCCCTAGGCGCCCTGAGTCAGCTAGGGGAGCTCCGTCCTACTTGGGTGAGTCCCCACTTTGACAGGGGAGGACAGCCTGAGTCTTTTGGGACTTCCTAGTCTACTGGGTGAGACCTCATCCTCCCTGGGATAATTTCTAGCCTCAGGGGCAAAGAGAATCAACAGACAGTGGCATAGGAAAACGGAACCCAGGGCAATTCTCAAGCACAAACGCATCTTAGGTCTGGGCAGGAGGAGACTCGGGAAGATGGGGAGTGAATGCCACACCCAGGGTGGCCAAAGGTTTTAAAAGCCAAACATTTCTAGGGTACACTGGCGGCAACATGCCAAGGCATTACTTGCAATATGGGGTAGGAGTTCGTATTGTTCTCATTTCACAGATGAGGACGCTGGGGCTCAGAGACGACACCACAAGGCTAAGTTCACATAGGGTCAGCCCTTCCGTGACACCCCACATTCCCAGCATCACAGACCAGAGGTGTCTTTTTACGACGGTTTTACCCATCCTTGTCCCCAAGGGAATCTGCCAGGGCTGGTTCTGCCCTTGCTGGGTCAGCTACGTCCACAGACCCCACGCAGGGCAGCCTCCTGGGGGAGCCACCGGGAGCTTACATGGCTTCCTGGGGGCGCAGGCCTGGCCCAGGTGTCCTTCCTACCAGAACCAGGGGCACGAGCTCAGCTGCCAGCACTTGGATTCGGGTGACCCTGGGGTCGCAGTGGCAGGGCTCCAAGAGGGTCTGGGGTCCTCATGCCCCTGTTCTGACCTTCGGCTGGGGCGCCAAGTCTGTCTCTGCCCCACAGCCGAGGCGGTCCTGCCTGCCAGGCCCCAAGGGTGGGGCAGGGGAACAGCCAGGAGGAGAGTCCCCGGGGACTGGATTCAGGGCTGCAGACCCGTGGGTGCGTGACCCTGGGGTCACAGCTGAGCGGCTGGAGGACACAGCAAGGGCCACGGGTGTGGCCGTGAGGGGGGGGCTCCTCCGGCCGTGGCACGAGGGGTGACTGGTTTCAGGGAAGGGGCGGCGGGTCCAGATGTGGCGCTGAGGCTCCTCCACGGCAGGCGGCGGGGAGGGCCGGGGCGCTCGTTGGGAGGGGAGGCAAGCCGCGGGCGGGGTCGGG